CTTGCCATCTTGTTCCCTCCGCACCCCTGCAAATGATGGCATTGTCCATGTCTTCCTTGTCTTGGAATTGTCAACAGGGTGCCACATGGGAAACTACAGGGAATCCGGGAAAGTGCACTTCTTGTAAAACTGTGCAAACGGAGATCTCTCAGTACAAGGAGGATCCCAAACTGATGGTCTGCCAGTGATCGTCTCATCAACCAGTGATGAGAGGACCAGCAGCTATGGTAAAATACAATTTAAGAAGATGAAGTAGTTTCTATCTGGAAAAGATGTAGACTTATCTTGATCAGAACCCAGGACTTCCAGAGCAGCATTGCAGTACTGTCCACAAAACAGAGGGCCTAGGCAACCACAAGGTGGGTACATTACTGAGTTTCCTGCCCAGCAAAGCAGTGTGGCCATCTGTTCCCACCCCCAAGTCAAACATGCAGGCTGCACTGGTAGCTGAGTCAGTAGAGAAAAAGGAGTCTCTGTTCCTCAGCTAGCTGGTACAGATTGATAGAGGAATCCTGGTCTTCCTGAATGAACAGCAAGGACACATGGCCAGCAGGTCGAGGGAGGCGATTCTGCCCCTCTACTCCGCTCTGGTGAGACCCCACCTGGCATACTGCATCCAGCTCTGTAGTCCTCAGCACAGCAAAGACATGGACCTGCTGGAGCAGGTCCAGAGGAGGGCCACAAAAATGATCAAAGGGATGGAACACCTACCTCTCCTGTGAGAAAAGGCTGAGACAGTTGGGGTTGTTCAGCCTGGAGAACAGAAGGCTCCGGGCAGACCTTATTGCAGCCTTTCAATACTTAATGGGAACTTACAAGAAAGATGGGGAGACTTTTAGCAGGGCCTGTAGTGATAGGACAAGAGGTAATGGTTTTAAACTAAATAAGGTAGATTCAGACTGGATGTAAGGAAGAAATTTTTTACAATGAGGATGGTGAAACACTGGAACAGGTTGCCCAGAGAGGTGGTAGATGCCCTGTCCCTGGAGACATTCAAGGTCAGGTTGAACAGGGCTGTCAGCAACCTGATCTAGTTGAATATGTCCCTGCTCATTGCAGGGGGGTTGGAGTAGACGACCTTTAAAGGTCCCTTCCAACCCAAACTATTCTATGATTCTGTGATTCTGTTATACTCCAGGATGCTAGCTGAAGGAGAAAAGCCAGCATAAAAAAGCACATACTGTTCATGCAAACAGCAAGGGACCAACCCTATGGTCCAAGCCAACTTCACCTAACCCTATAAAAACCCAACAATAACAGTAGGCATTTGGAGAATGTGTATCACACATAGCTGGACTACAGGTATGCAGATCACCATGCAAGAGGAGACATCCACATCATGAGGGAGATAGGTAGTAAATACTCAAGAGACCAGTGAATGACTTGTTATGGCTGTAAGATAGCGTAAGATAAGTGTAAGATTGCTACTTGTACTAGTATTTACCAATTAGGTAAGTAATAAATAACTAATTTACTTAAGTAGAATTGTGTGGTGGTCTGTGTATTTACTACAGTATCCAAAAGAACCATGACAAGCAGCCTGACAGTGTAGCCTCTAGATCCGCACTAAGTTGCCTCTCCCTTAGCATCAACGTCCATACATATCTCCTTTCCTTTCTCCCCCTTATCACAAGCACTCACAAGAATGGAAAAGACACAAACCAATGGGACTAGACTTCAGAGAAAGCAAAAGGGCTTGTTCCTTCTTGTAACAACAGCTGCCAGAGAGTTGGCTCTTCTTGACAAAAGAAGTTGTGAATGCAAAGCTTATACATGAGTTTAAGGGGAGACTGGACAAATTCTTGGAAAAGATTATCTGAAGGTTATAAGAAAGACAAATCATGCAAGGTTCAGAAAACCTCTGAGCTGAAAAATAGGGTGGCAAAGTTAACAAGTGAAATGCATGTATATGCTTGTTCTTGCACTTCTCTAGGCATTAACTTATACTAACTGGGCCAATAAGACTACTGGATTAGATGTACCTGTGGTCTGATTCAGTTTGATTGCTCTTACACACTTTACATTAGTATTTTGTATTGTCTTTATACTGTTTCATAAGATATATAGATATTGTGTTCTGCACAACATGGCTGATAGGAATGCCTTATGGTACATTTCAGATAAGATACAAATGACAGGCTGTATGGGAAAACCGTTTGGAAACACAACCAGCCTATGAAGTAGACTTAAAAAATGGGCTATGTTGTATGAGATTACTACACAGGCTAATTATGACATTATAAGAAATATCCAAACTCTAGAAGATTCTTTATTTTGGAAAAGTCCTGAGGGATGGCAATGTAGTTCTGTGGAAGATCAAAAACTGAAAGCATTACAAATCTATTATCAGAAAAAAAAGTACTTCATAGGAATAGCCTTTCTTCCATTATCATTCTCAACATAAGAAACTGCAGTATAAATTCCTGCATATGAAACCAATTCTTTTTCAGAGGTTTTAAAGTTTTGATTCTGACAACAAAAAGCAATACTTTTCAAAGTACATGAGCAAATTATGTCCAACCCTGTTTTAGTTCACTGGTGAAAAACTTTGATTATAGTCTGATTATTCCTTATCCACATAAGAAGGCATAAAATTGAGATATACAGTATATTTTGCATCTAAATATAAAATACAAGGCTTTTAACAATACAACCACTTTTCATAGTGCTTTCATATTTTAATTTGGCAGGTTAATACTGTCATTATGAGGTGATTGAATGTTATTATTGATTATCTTGCAATGAGTAACTGTTGGCAAGTTCAAAAAAAAGAGATCATCTCTTAAAAAAATTAAGATGAGATGCGTTCTTTGATAAAGATCAAATTGATAAAAATTTGAGATAAAAATTTGTAGAAATATATTTGAAATTATTTGAAACAGAACTTCAGCTTCCATTAGGCCCTGACTGATCTAAGTGGGTACATCTGCAAATTAATTTCATAGATGGAAGCATCAGAATATTGAAGAGATTAAATAATTTCCCTGTAACAAAAGTAGCTACTACCCTCTTTCTGACACAGCAAGTGATCATGTATTTAGAGACTGAAATGCCTGTATAGACTAAAATATTCTGCAAATATACTGGCTCAAGGAGACAAGTATAGTGATATTTATATGTGCATATTTTAAATTTCTGCCAAGGCCTGAATTAGGTTTGATTTGTTCCTTTCACACACATAGACACATAAAGTTCTACGATTTGAGAACGCAAATCAAGACCCCAGTGCTTTTATCCTTCAATATTACAACATTTACCACAGCTCATGCTGTTCATCTTGCCAAGCAAATAAGCACGCAGGTGACAATTAACACAACAGAAAAGAGAGTTCAGTTTCAAGAAGTAAAAAACTTAAGATCGACACTTTGTTTAGCAACATGGATGAGATGAATGTTGCTAAAGCTTTACCTTGGAATTGAGTCAACATTGCTCTGGCAATAATTTTCTGGTGAAACTACCCAGTGTTCAACACCCCTTTTTGTCCTTTACGTTGTTCACATGAAATTTAAAATTCAATATAAACACAAATCCTCAAACCTTTCAATGTACTGTCAGCTAAATAAAACTACCATGTATTTGCTGGACAGATAGAATGGAAGATGGTTATCAGAGTATCTTTTACCTTCAAATGAGTGGACTGCTTAAATGCATTGCTATGTATTGTTATTAAATTAGATTACTTATGGTTGTGCCTCATCTTAGTGTTTCTGATTGACAAGGCTACTGTTGCAAGTGAGTGTGAGCTCTTAAAACACTTAGACATCCACTGAAGTTGAAGATCCCAGCAGTTACTAGTTTAGCATCTCAGCAGGATTAAGTTCCACAGCAGGAATCAGTAAGACACAGCTTCAGCTGTAGAAGTGCACAGTTTTGTTATTTCAAGATTGTTCTGTTACAGACTTAAAGCTCCGTCAGTTGTTTTATTTTTATATACCTACAGATTTTTCAGTATTTTTGGTAAATAGTTGTTACAGTTATGATGGGTCACATGGGACCCTGAAAATCACAGTAAATCTATTAATGTTTGGAAAATGCTTCTGTAGTATGTAAGAGCAATATCGATCTGTTCCTGTAGGGTCAGGTGTAGTGGAGTGGTTGTAGGGTATGCGAGGCAAATGTCAGGTGCTTATAGCGACAGGTATGAGAAAGATGTCAAATTGTTAAACCGCGTGTTGGTAACAGAACATGTAAGGATACGGACCAGTACACAGGAAACGGTCATGAGGGAATTACATGGTTTGCATAGATCACAGGCAAGCGTGACTGGCTACACAGACAGCAGCAGCTGTGTATTGAGCTGTAGGGATACTCTGCAGGTTAGTAAAGAGCTGCAGATGCGGATTCACTGGGACTAGAGAGCCACGCTGTAGTGGCGGTTGGATGCGTGGCCATCGTACGCAGTCAGGAAATCACCTACCCCTCCACGTCACCTGCCCCCCACGTACACACCTACAACGAACAGAGACACAAACTGTCGGGAGAAGATCAGCCGGTTTCCACAGCTGTTGTGTCACCACCGCACCCACGTCGTCCACGGCCCCACCGCCTGCACAGAGCTCGAGGCCCGTCGGCGCGGCAGGGCCAAGCGGACCCAGGGCGGCCACCGGAGGCCCCGGGGCCTTGGCTCGGCCACTGCGTGCCCTTCCGCCTCCCCGCCGGAGGAGCCCAGAGCGGGCAGGGACACCGCCGAGCCACAGGGCTGCCGGCCCGGCCGCCGCTGCCCCTCCCGCCTTAAAATGGCGGCAGCCGGGCAGCTCCTCCACCGCCAGCGGCTCGTCGCTGCCATTTTCCGAAGGGAGGAGGCGCGGGGCGCCTGTGACGGGCGGCGGTGGGAGGGGGAGAGCAGCCGCCGCCGGGCCTAACTTCCTGCCCGTCCCGCCCGCCGGCGGGCGCTGTGCGACCCCCGCGGCGGGC